ATCCAACTTGCCCAGAAAGTTCTATGCCAATGCAACTATGAACCACTGATTTTCTGCAGTTTTTACACTTGTGTGCATACACCCACATTCACACAGAGACAATGCTCTGCTAACACAGCCGTTTCCTTTCCTCCGCATTCCACTCATATCCGGCTTGGGACCTTGTCCTGCTGAGATGATAAAGCCAGGATAAATTCAGATTCTGGCTCCTAGCTAAGAGTCATCAATGAGTGCTCTTCTGTAAACACGGGGAAGGAAGTGAATGATGTGCCTGCATGTCCGGCCAACAGAAATCTCAGCTGGCTCTGGCAGGCACAGTCCCCACTTGAATGGGGTGTGAGGCCACCTCCAAGCCTGGGCAGTCTGCCTCCAGCTGCACTTGTTTTTGTTTTTGTTGCAAAGTCACCAAGACCTCCAAGAAACAAAGCAACTGAGTTTTTTGTTTTGTTTTGTTTGAATGAGTCAAACTTGCCAGGGACATGAAACTCAAGTCTGCCCACCATAGTCTTACGCTTCCCTTACCCAACGCCAAAAAAGTTCTAGCTAACAGCTCCCTTCCTTCACCCACATGCGCTAATATTCTGTAGCCCTGTAGCCATGACTGTTTATAACCTTGGGCTTCTAGACTAGTGAGGAAAATTGTGCTCTATATAAAAAAAATGCTTTCCCATCACATATCACTTTTCTGTTTGTTTTTAGAAAGATCATTTAGAAAATGAGGTAAAGAGAACGGACTGCCCTTTCTTTTCGAATGGAGAACAAACATCTGGACTTTCTCCACCTCTGATTGCAGTTTCATGACAACCCTGAGTGTGTGATCTGGATCCATTTCAGGGGAAACTGCAAGAACCCAGGGTTTCACCCAAAAATCAGACGCCCATTTACTTCCCTGTTTTACTGTTTCACATGACCACTGAGTACTCCCAGCACTGCTGTTAGTGGCTCACTGTACCAAGAAGGTCAGGCCAGGAGGATTTAGAGAAACAGGCTGTTTCTGCACAAGGGCATGAGTCATTCTTAAGAAAGTGTCCCGGGGAACCAAACTTGAAGTTCATCTTTTTTTTGTCCGGTCTTGACAGCAATCTTAAAATGCCAACGGAACTGACTTGGGGGCCCTCTGCATGACTGTATGAGAGGCTTGGGAGAAGGAAAGTTACAGGGAAGCTGTGACACAGCTTCTAGCGAGGGCTGGGCCAACTGGCCTTCACTGGGAGGGCAGGGAAAGTGGCTGTGCCCTTTTACAGTTGGTCCAAAGGGCCCTCCAGGGAGCTGTCAGGAACACTGAGTCACAGAGTTTACCCACCCAGGAAGGCTTGCCCTTCTGGGGCAGGGGGCACTATCTTAGCTGTCACTGCATGGTCTAAATGCGCCACCAGATCCCTTAGCACAGCGGTTCTCAACCTGTGGGTCGCGACCCCTTTGGCGGTCGAATGACCCTTTCACAGGGGTCGCTGAAGACCATCCTGCGTATCAGATATTTACATGATGATTCATAACAGTAGCAACATGACAGTGATGAAGTAGCAACGCAAATAATTTTATGGTTGGGTCACACCATGAGGAACTGTATTTAAAAGGCCAGAAGGTTGAGAACCACTGCCTTAGCACTTAGGACCTACTGCTTTCTTAAACATTTCCATGGAAAGGTGACAGCAAGTTTGTTACTAAGTCTGGTTACAAGCCCATTGTCTCCATATGCAGTATAATAAGTCCAAAGGCAAGAGCAATAGTAAACAGCAAGAGGGCTGGGAGGTGTTTGACTGGTCTGAACTGTCAAGATGAAATCTCTCTAAACCAGTGCTTCTCAACCTTGGCTGCACATTAGAATCACCTGGGAATCTTTTTAAAATCCTGATTTCTGGGCCTCATCCTCCGGAAATTCTGTTTCTTCGTTACTCATGTTGTGGCCCCACCCCATGACAAAGAAACAGAATTTCCAGAGGATGAGGCCCAGAAATCAGGATTTTAAAGATTCCCAGGTGATTCTAGTGTGCAGCCAAGGTTGAGAACCACTGAAACCCTGGCTATCCAGCTGGAATTGGCCGGCTTTTCTTGTAAAATTAATCTTGACTGGCCGTAGGTCTGTGGAGAGTACTTTGGAATTGGGCGGCCATATCCTCCCAGAGCCATAAGTGAAATGAAGACATCCAGCACACTTTCTGCCCAGGTTTTCTCAGGGTGAGTTTCAAGATCTCCTAAACTGTTATGCTCTAAATTCGTTTCCAAGTGCACAGTTCTTGAACCCTGTTTACTAAAGTCTTTCATCAAAGCTCGAGTCAAACAGCAACTTTTCAAAAAGAACTTCTCATTGAAACCACATGTTCCCAACTGCCACGAGGGCCAATTCTAATATAACCACAAAGGTCTTCTGGAGCACCACTGGAGTGGGTACCAAATCTCCAATGTAGCTCATTGAAAGCTCTTCCCAACATGCCCAGAACTTTCAGAGGGCATGGCTTTGTGTTCGTTAAGAGACATAAACACCAAGGGTCATAAACACCAAGGATGCCTTATCAGGCTGTGACCACCCTCAAAGAGAAAAGAATCAGAAAAGCATCCTCTGGACCCCCTCACAGCACCACACTTTGCAACACTTGTCACATGGGATTTGATAGATGGAGTCAGTTAGAACCGTGGTCGACAAACTCATTAGTCAACAGAGCCAAATATCAACAGTACAACGACTGAAATTTCTTTTGAGAGCCAAATTTTTTAAACTTAAACTATATAGGTAGGTACCTTGTTGTTAACTTAATTAGGGTACTCCTAAG